CTTCGTTTAAATTCACACACTTTTAGCAAACATTTCTAATCCTCCTGCTAAATATCGCTTCCTCTGCCTTCACACAGATTATAAAGTATCCTGAGATATCTGAAAAAAAAAAACACTGAAAAATAATGAAAAAAAAAACCTGCAGCTAGCAAGACAGGGCAATATCAAACCATTTGCTTTTCCTACTCGTTTAATCACTTCCTTAACATTTTGACACAAAACCAATACTCTGTCCCAGGGAACGGAAGTTTCAAACGATTCGCCCATTATGGAGAATTCTAAGCCAAGATCCTGAAACACATTTTCATGGAAAAAATCCTGATGACATAACAACATCGAATCAATAAACCATACAGCCGATATCAACCTAAAATCACAGCTCCCTAGCTTTCGTAGTTCCCGAATTGAAAGTGCGCGGCAAAACGCACTCGGACATGCGCGGACACACACACATACACAAATACATACACGCAAATACTCACACAGAGAACGGCGTGACAATATGCGTTTTATATTGTTGTTATACAGCGCAAAACGCAGAATAACTGAAATTCGATAAACTGTGCAAAATCAAAAATTTTTAGAATCCACATTTGCTGGCTAAAAACTGAAAAAGAGCAGGATATTGTAAAACGAGCCGAAAAAGCTACTTAAATTATTAAAATCTCGAACCTGTATTTTCAATAAATCAGATTTATTAACAGATTCGATTTTTCATATTTTGACTAAATTCTTAAACTGCAAAAGATTCTCAGTATATTTACAAAAATACCAAGACCATCCGGGCAGCCGAAACGGAAATTCCAAGTTAGTAATGCTAATAGAATGCTCTCCCACGTCAGCTGTAGCTAAGCCAGACTCAATAGTTCAGCTGTGAATAATTCCAGTTAGTAGCTACTTTCCGTTCGACGTATGTGCGCCATCTCTTCGGAGGTAGCCGCGGAGTACCATCTGCAACATGTGTTCCCGTCCGCTGTGCATGAGGCAAGCAAATTTAGAAAATAATATTACCTAACATCTTAATGAATATGTGCTGTAAAAAAAAATAATGATACTTACACGAAGATAAGCGATAGCGAAAGTCAACCGATAACCATACTTTCCATTCTTTTCACCACCACTTAATCCACCAAATTTTGCAGCTATCGCATTAAGCTTCGCTTCTTGCGCAGCAACCTCACTTGCCGTACCTTCGTAAACACACGTTGCTGCCACCATTTCATCAAGCTTAACAAAGAATCTTCACACAGCAGCTCAAAATACAAATACATATTCATATCTTTTTCCGACAACAATCAGAAAATTGATCACTTTTCTTCAGTTAACATTACACAATTTGTTCCCTCCCCCTCTCTCTCCTCTCCAAATGTACGTGAACTAGCTGACCAACAAAGCATCTACGGCATGTAGCCCTTAAATCCACTTATTCTAGCCCTCTTCTTTGCCTTGAAAGAAACATACCCCCTCCCACTCGTAACATTCAAACTGCCGCCGTTCAC